CTAGATGATCATTGTAGGTCCCTTCCAACTGAATCTATTCTATTCTATTCTATTCTATTCTATTCTATTCTATTCTATTCTAAACTGCGTACTTTTCCACAGTGAATCAGGGGCCCATGACATGGGATGTAATTCAAGCACTGTCCTGGAGCAGCCAGCTGTCTGCAGGAAGCTCCATCAGGAGTTGGTGAGAAGAAGGAAAGGGAAAGGACCCAGAGGTTGTTGAGGCCCCATCCCTGGAGATTTTCAAGGTCAGGCTGGACATGGCCTTGGGCAACCTGGTCTGGTGGGAGGTGTCCCTGCCCATGGCAGGGGGGTTGGAACTCGATGATCTTCAAGGTCCTTTCCAACCTAAACCATTCTATGATTCTATGACCCCTTTCTACAGGCTCTCCCATGGAAGGTCCTTGTGCGCTCTGGATCCTTGGTAAAGGTAGGAAAGGTTTCAAGGGTTTCACCTTGAAAGCTGAAACAATCCAGGAACAGGGTGTGCTAGGAGGAATGCACAATCTGATGTGGGGACCCTAGCGACTACAGGGAGCTATCGGGGACAAGGCACACTGCCTTGAAGCACATTATGAAGTATATTTTATAATGGCTTTTGAGTCTTTTACCAGCACTGCCTGGTTGCAGAACTACTGTTTGTCACCAAAGTCAGTTACTAAACCTTTCTCATGCCCAAGAAAAAACAGTGGTTGAATACCACTTAAAGCAGTGGTCATAGCCATCTGCCCTCCAATATATGATCATGTGAAAAAAAGGTGCTGGTGGAGGTCTACTTTTTACCAGGGTTTTTTTTGTAGTGAAAGAATGTGCCAGGGCAACAGGAGACCTGATACAATGCCAATCTGCAATAAAGCCAAGGTTTATGAAGAAGATTCTGTGAGCGCTAAGTTAAATGCTATTTGGGATAGGTGAGGAAAATATTCTGTACTTCGCCCATCACAGGTATGTCCCTTTGGAGAAAAAAAGCATGTAAAATACCTTGAAGCACACAGGAGCAGCTTAATGTCTCTGTAGCACAGCACAGGACATCTTGGTTTTCCAGCTCCAGGGGCTGTTTATACCATCATCAATCTATCAGTTGTTATTACCTCTCCAGATCTTGTCCCTCCTAAGTACCAGTTATTCATTTTATACTAAACTGTAATGCATTAAAATTCTGGCATATTTCTTAGAACACAATCAGCTCTTAATGTTCATTGGAAGAAATCTGGGAACCTAGAACTTGGTTTTGTACAAGAAAATTCCCTAAATGTGCTTGTGGCAAATGGGAATGTGGATCTGACCCTCCTTTAGCCAAGAAAAGCATTCCGTGAAGGTTTTCCACATCATTGGCAAAAGCTGTCTTCAACCGCGATTGTGACTTGTGGCTGGGGAAGGTCACGGACATCACATGTGAGAGCTGTGCAATTAGCTCTGGATGTGGGTACCATCCAACTGTGCAGACACCTACCTGCATTGCCAGAGGCCTCTGTCTCTCTCCCCTGCCCAGGAGCATCATGGATGTGTGTGTCCAACAGTGTGTATGTGCCATGTAGTATTACTTTCGTCTGAACCACATCTGAACCAGATTGCGAATGTCTTTTGCAGCCTTACCAACCATGCTACCAAAGCTGAAACAACAGCCACCTGTCGGAGTTACTCATTGAAGAAGAAAGTTTGGTTTGGCAAGATCGGCTTTTGAAAAATCCATGCTGGTATTTTATACTCTACTGATTACAAAATGACTGGTAAACAAATTGCTCTATTATCTTCCTAGATATCTAAATTGGGCTTATTGACCTTTAGTTGCCTGGGTCCTCATGGGTGAGATGTATGAGGACTGGAGCACCTCTCCTATGAGGAGCGGCTGATAGGGTTGGAGTTGTTCAGCCTGGAGCAGAGAAGGCTCTGGGGAAACCTTATAGTGGCCTTCCAGTACCTAAAGGGGGCCTAGAGGAAAGATGGGGAGGGACTTTTTACAGGGGCATGTAGTGATAGAATGAGGGGTAATGACTTTAAATTGGAAGAGGGGAGATTTAGGTTAGCTATTAGGAAGAAATTTTCCACTATGAGGGTGGTGCGACACTGGCCCAGGTTGCCCAGAGAAGTTGTGGAAGCTCTATCCGTGGAGGTGTTCAAGCCAGGTTGGACGCAGTTTTGAGCAACCTGGTCTGGTGGGAGGTGTCCTTGCCTATGGCAGGGTGTTGGAACTGGATGATCTTCAAGGTCCCTTCCAACCTAAACCGTTCTATGATTCTATGATTTTTACCTCATTACACTACTTCTGTCCTCTTGTGAGTGACTGAGAAACCAGTTCTTCTGTTGTGGGTTATGATGGAAAAGAATAGATTTCTAGACCCATTACTCATAGTAAAGGGACCTTTTTAGGAGTGGGGCGTAATGGATCTACCCATTTCCTTAATGGTAACAACACTGGACTAGCTATTGCATTATCATCGTTCTTACGTGGACTTTTGCTAATTATTTAACAGCTCAGTAAGTCATGTTCCAGCATTCACATCTATGCCCTGGCATTGTTTAATTTACTAGCAGAGATGTAACCAAAGGAGAGGGTAGTATACCATGGAGGAAAAAGGTTGTGGAGGTGAATGAGAAAAAAAAACAACAACCAACAACCCAAACAATAAGCACTTTGAATTGTGAAACGAGGCTTTTAGCTTAATGCTCATCTTTCATACTAGAATAAGTGCCACTGAAATATGAGTGAGTCAGAAATGTGTGTTGAAATTGCCACTGAAATGAATGAGTCAGAAGCGTGTGCTGAAATTATTCTGTGCCAAAGATTCTGGGACTTGGAATCTCAATTATGACAGCAGCTTCCTTACTAAAAGAGGACTGAAACGTGAAACCACTGTAAACTGAGACTAAAATAATATTTAGTCCCACTGTTGACTGCACAATAGGGCATTTGCTTCCCAAAGTCTACAGAAGTGAGTATCGCATGTTATTTATGCTAATGGTCATTCTCTCTGAGAGGAGTCTCAAGGAAAGTTGTTTGCCTGGCTTCTGGTTTTGCCTAGGAAATCTTCAGTTTCTCAAGTGAACTGTTTCTGCTTATGCTGGTAAAGGATCAGGCTCCCTTCAAGACCTGACACTGATAAAGTCACAAAGTTGGTGGAAGTGTATTTCACAGTAATAAGAAAGAAGGAAAATTACAATGAATTGGTCAATGAAGAATGAGTAATTTAATGATTGATACAGCAAAATCAGATGTTAAAGAATAATTTTGGAAGACACCCTCACTTGTTGTTAACAGGAAAGTTTCCAAATGCAGGGACCTTTCCCCTTGGCTATTTGTTTTTGTTAATTAAGCCCTTTTCTCAGATAGTTGTTTTCCATCAGGAAGCAGGTTTGGTTACCTGTATTTATGCTAAGTGCAATCTTATACTATAAGCAGGATCGTTAATTTAAATGAAATACACTTTTTTTTTTTTTTTTTTACATTTAAATATGCCTAAGCATTTTACAGAAGAACATGTCAGCAAAAGATACAGATTCTAAACCAGGATAGTTCTAGTGGAAACTGCTCTGCTCTCCTAATTCCTTTTAAGAACTACACATTTCAGGTAAACCTGTTTATCTTTTGGTCCTGTTAACAATACAATGGTTCAAAACATTGGCCAAATTAAGACTAGTTGCACGACCAAGCAGTATCTATCTCTATTAAGAACATATGAAACATATGGAACCACAGAACTTTAAAAATGCTCTTTAGATAACATTTTGGGAAACAATGTGAGAAGCTAACCATTAAATAATCTGGCACCCAAATGCTAAATTTCAATTATGATCTCCGCTATGTTCTTGTTTTGGTTTGAGGACCATCTAAACCATTATACAGATAGAATATATACATCCTTCTACAGCTTTTTCTACTGTGAGTTGCTGAAGTCAGTCCTTCTGTGGGAGAGGGAGGATGGAATCTGGTTTTCTGAAAGAAGTCACTATGGAGATGGATGTCCAGGAAGGGAAAAGTTGAACCTATTATTTATTTTTTTTTTCAGTTTTTCATTGGCAGGAAGCAGGGCAGAGAACTTGACAAAATTGTGGCTGCATCCAGGATCCTTTGCCAAGGCAGTTGGAATAAACATCTTCACATTTTCAAAGCTTGGCTGAAAATGAATTGAAACACAAAATAAATCATAAATGGGAAATGAGAACCTGCAACATTTCCTTTTAGAATAATTTTTCATCAATATTTCTTTTCTCTGTAATTTTTTTCTCTTTGTTGCCATTTTCTCCACAGCAGCATCCAAAACCTTTGACCACACATACAAAATCCTTAGGGCTTTCAAGGAGGTTTCTCACTGAACTTGCAAGATGGTTTGCAGCTTTCTTCCTTTATACTATAGCCCATGATGAGAATTAGGTTAATTCAATTAACAGAAGATTGAAATCAAGTCTTGCATTATGAGACTCAGCCCATATGTTTTTATTTTCTGTTAGAATTCTTAAAACTCAGATTTGCTACTTGCTCTTTTCAAAGGAAGAAAAAGAAAAAAAGACAATGTCCCTTCCTTCCCTAGCATTTCTTAGATTCAAGGATGAGAATTTCCTCTCCTGGGTATGGAAAAACATATAAACTGCAGCTGGAAATCTGGAGCTGAGATTTCTGTGCTTCCACCGCTATAAACTTAACTTTGACCTCACTGAAGTCAATGCATCTTCTTACACCAGGAAGTAATCATGAGAGTTTCCATATGGAGACCTTGACACTGTCATCTTTAGTGAAGGTATGTAGGCCATATGAATATCTTGATCCATGAAGTGGAGGGCATCTTTATCCCAATCTACACCAAGTACTGTCTAACACTTGCCCACTCTTATCGTAGACTCCTTCTTCTTTGGTTTCACTCCATAGTTGTTCTGTAATAATGTTTTTGTCCTGGTACTTGAACAAATAATCTCAAATACTTTCCATTTTCATAAATTACATGGGATTTTTTTAAAACATCAACTTTACCGGAGTCACAATTAAAATGCTTAAAACTTACTGCATAATCCGTTCTCACAAGCATTAGGGCAATCACCACAAGGTGGTCCTTTTTTGTAGGGTGTCGGAATTGAACTTAGTAGATTTCCCCTGAAACATCAACATTACCATAAGCTGTAAAGTCACTATAACATATCCGAGAAAAAAAACCCTTAGTTATACAGATGCATACATACATTAATTTGCACTCAGTCTTTGGTTATATGTCAAACAATTTATGTATACATGGTGGGTTTATCTGGAAAGCTTTTGGTAGTGGGGCAGGGTGGAATTTGCAGGGGTGGCTTCTGTGAGAAGACACCAGAAGCTGCCCCTCCTTCAGACAGAGCCAGTGCCAGCTAGCTCCAATTTGTACCCACTGCTGAGCCCATCAGCGACAGCACAAGCACCTCTGTGATAACGTATTAAAGAACGGCTAAAAACTGCTGTGCAGCAGCAACTAGAAGAGAGGACTGAGAATATGTGAGAGAAACCATCCTGCAGACACCAAGCTTAGTGAAGAAGGAGGAGGAGGAGGAGGAGGTGCTCCAGGAGTTGGAGCAGATATTCCTCTGCAGCCTGTGGTAAAGACCATGGTGAAGAGAGTTATCTTCCTGCAGCCCATGGAGGTCCATTGTGGAGCAGATGTCCACCTGCAGCCCATGGAGGACCCCACACTGAAGCAGGTGGGTACACTCAAAGGAGGCTCTGACCCCATGGAGAGGATCCCACATTAGAGCAGGTCTTCTGACAGGACCTGTGACCCCGTGAGGGACCCATGCTGGAGCAGTGCGTTCCTGAAGGGCTGCACCCCATGGAAAGGACTTAAGCTGGAGAAGTTTGTGAAGAACTGCAACCCATAGGAAGGGCCCATGTTGGAGAAGTTTGTTCAGGACTGTCTCCCATGGGTGGGACCCCACACTGGAAGAGGGCAAGAGAGTGAGGAGGAAGGAGCAGCAGAGACAAGGTGCGATGAACTGATCATAAACCCATTCCCCATCCCCCTGCACCGTTTGGGGAGAGGAGGTAGAGAAATTGAGAGTGAAGTTGAGCTGGAGAAGAAGGGAGGGGCGGGCAGAAGGTGGTTTTAGATTTGTTTTTATTTTCTTATTATCCTACTCTGATTGATTGGCAACAAATTAAGGTCATTTCCCCAAGGCAAGTCTGTTTTGCCTGTGATGTTAACTGGTGAGTGATCTCCCTGTCCTTATATTGATCCACAAGCTTTTTGTCATATTTTCTCTCCTGCTGTCCTGTTGAGGAGGAGGAGTGACAGAGCAGCTTGGTGGGCTACTGGCAGCCAGCCAAGGTCAACCCACCACGATATTTTACAACGTGAATGTGAAAATTAATTTGAGACAATTTATGAAATCTTCACTCTTCCTTAAAACTACCATTAAAGTATTTAGTATTAATTATAGTTTTCACTGCACTGTACCTATTGATTGGCGTTTCTGAACCAAGATTTCAAGTAGAATGTGGAAAATACTTGTTTGTGAAAATTAGGATTTTTAGGAAAATTAAATTTAATCATTTTTATGTTGTTTATGCCATTCCTTGTTTGACAATTCTTTTAATGAGTATTTTTCTGTCTTTTTTTATTCCTAATACACTCTTGAAACCTGTTCCTCAGCTATGGGTGATGTGCCCTGTTACAAATTACACCATGTCTTGACTAATTTTGGTAATGTAATACAAAGTTCTAGAATTAGAATCAATACATACGCGGGGCAGTACTGGCAGACATAAAAGTACTTGTATTTACTGTTGGGACAGAAAGCAACAGCACATCCAATTTGATAAGAACTGTGCCAGACCACCTGGAGGTATAAGAACAAAAATCATGGGAGAATGAAAAATATACATTTGAAAATCTTTTAAGTACAATATGCATTAAAGAAACATTTGCAACCAAGTTAACTCACTCTATTTGCCTTTTCTAGTAAAGTATAAGTCCCACCTTGCTGGAAAAAGTTTTTTCCCCTGCTTTCACCCCTGAACTAAATAGCATTTAGGATATTACAATGATTTATAGCAAATATATATAAAGCTTTTGAGTTAAACTGTCTCAATTATATATGTTTTCATTCAATTAAAGCTGTTGAGGAAGGTGTAGGAATCATAATATAAAATTTTGTATACTGTGTTTTGTGCAGGTGACCAGTGGAGCTTATCATAAGCCATTGTCCAATTAGAAACTGAGTCAATGGAACTCTGTAGACTGTAACAAACCTATTGCTGACACTTTAATGACCCTATTCTTCCACTGTCTGAGCAATTCTTACATGTTAAACAAACAAATAATTTTCTTCCCTTTGTTTCTTCCTGAAGTTTTGAAATACCAATATCCTTACTCTTTACTCCATAAAGACATTTAGCCTATTATTTTCATTTTAATTCTGTTACTTTGAAAGTTTTCATCTCGTTTTGTGAGAATAACTCTCATGCCTCCATTGTGCTTATTCCCTTCAAATATGATGAGAGGGTAAATGTTGCTTAGCTAACATACACATGTTCATTTATTCAGCTTGAAATACAAAAAAGTGGCACCTACCTGAGTGTAATGGCCAATCACAGCACCTTGTGTTTTTGCTCCAGTTCCGTATTCGAAATCTTTCTCCTCATTGTACCAGGCCTGAATAGCATCTGACCATGAGAAAGGGGCAGTTGACATGAAGAGATTTTCACCGCATGGTACAGCTGAAAGGAGAGAGGTATTGAGAAATTCATAAAAAATGCATGTGTGAGAAAAAGACAGCAAAAGGTAGTACGATTTCCATGGAAGTTCTCATCCCAGATGGAACAGAAGAGTGTTGGGTTTTTTTTCCGGTTCAGTGACATCACCCTTTGTCAATACTGATGTTGTCACTTCACCAGTTTGCAGCATGGCCAGCCTGTTTGGCTGGTAATTTGGTTGTTGACAAACCTTCTACACGTCTGCAGATACACCTGCACCACAGATTTATGACTGTAATTTTGCTATTTGAAAGTTAGCAACCTAGATATTATTCAGGTCACAGCTCAATAATCTTGGGAAAATACCAGTAAGTCAAAACTTACTTCTGGTACACAAGAAGGTGTCTACATTGTCTTCACCTACTGTTTTTATCCAGTTCCAACCCTACTACATGTACATTAGTTCCTGTCTGGGATTCACCTTAGCAAGAACCAGAGGATTAAGTTTTTAAGCAAAAAGATGGGGGACTAAAGGACAGCCCACACCTTACATGGAGTAGAGACAGAAGCAAGTCAGCACCACTCTTTGGTCTGATAGTGGCTATTGTTAATACAATATAGCTGTAACTTCAATATCCAATGACTGAAGTGTTTATACGAGCCTCTGATATTGCTACAGGTTGCAAGCTGCCAGCAGATTTAAAAACTGTGAGTCTTGTCTCAGCAATTATGCTTAGCACTACCAGCTGGTTTTGGACCTTCACCCTTTGCCCCTTCCTTCCCAGATAGTTTCATCCAGCATGTGCAGGCTGGTACGTGCAGGCTGGTATCTGCAATAAACTGGGTCTAGATTCTCTTCTCTCTGATGGGTATTTTCAGAGAATATGTTTTCTCACTATGCTACAGGCCTCCTGTAGGAGGCCTACAGGAGAGCTGGGGAAGGACTTTTTACTAGGGCATGTAGCAACAGGATGAGGAGTAATGGCTTTAAACTGGAAGAGGGCAGGTTTAGATTAAACATTAGGAAGAAGTTTTTCACTTTAAGGGTTGTAAGGCACTGGAAGAGGTTGCTCAGAGAGGTTGTTGAGGCCCCATCCCTGGAGGGGTTCAAGGCCAGGCTGGATGGGGCTTTGGGCAACCTGGTCTAGTGGGAGGTGTCCCTGCCCATGGCAGGGGGGTTGGAACTCGATGATCTTCAAGGTCCTTTCCAGCCTAAACCATTCTATGATTCTATGATTTTTCTCACCTACTGAAGAAAATGGGATATACTTGTGTAAAACTGATTAAATCGAGATGAGAATGGGATTGAACTTTTCTCACTTGCTAGACTTATATCTACAATTTTGCCTTTGTCTCATGCACCAAAAAATTTACATTAAATGTAAATGTCATCTCAAAAAAAACCCAAACAAAGACCACAAACTGGTCACTTCAATAACATGTATGACATTATTCAGTTAGCATGCATGCTTCACTTACTTGTTGTCCTCATATTAGCAGGACTGTGACTTAAAGTGCATTGATTGGCCCATTTTTGGGCATTATTTGCAGCCGCAGGATCCCATTCCTTAATGAAAGAAGAAAATATTAGTCAATCAGACACATACCAATTAATAAAGCCTCATGAAGGACAAACTCTTGGAAATTGCAGTTCAAATCAGAAAAAAATCATATACAAAATCCTTTTCTTTCCCTTTTTTTTGAGCGTTGGTGGATAGGAACAAAGTTACTATGCACCCAGGAGAATAGAAACTGGGAAGACTGATGAAAAATGCATCAGAACGAAATGAATAATGCCACGGCTCCTCCTTTTCCTTTTTCTTCAAAAGAAAGACATTATTGTTCATACCCCACAAAATTTTCCAGACTTTTTTTTCCACCTGCCCAGCTTTATGTTTCTCTTGGTGCTGGCCATGCTCAATCCTTAGGAAAGGTCTGGAGAGTGAACTGTGGCTAGATAAAACAATGAGAGATACAGTCCCGTATCTCTCATAGTGTCCATTACTCATTAAAAATAGATTTACAACACGCAACTTACCATCTTCAACATGTTGCTGGCAGTTGGTTTTACTCCTCTCCTAAGGGTATTATGTTTGTCAACAATCAGCTTTTGCTGATCTATTTTGCTAGTTGACAGAGCATCAAAACCTCCAGATTCCTAAATAGAAAGAACATATAATATTTTTTTTTATTGTTTAAACGTAACTAAATCCTGAATCCTGTCTAGGAAACCTGAAAATATCAAAATACTAATATCAACCAAAGAGATGATCCTTGTGATGGAGGAGGTCCTGTGGTAGACTTTGTCTCCTAAGTATCTCTAGAGGCGCTTCTGTTTGGAACAGCACTTTCAGTGGTTCCACAACGTAGGGCTTAGCAGTAATAACACAGGTTCCTGAATCATATCTGCCAGCTCACTGTGGATGGCCAAGATATCCTGGAACGCCTCGTGTGCCTGTAGAGTCTTATATTTAGGCAACTGAATCAGACTTATTTTACTATTACTATAATTTCCTTCATGAGGTTTTGAGGAAAAAGGATTTAAAAATCAGCTGAAGTCATGAATGTGCTTATGATGTGTTCCTCTTCTTCAGCAATTTAAACATGCCTATCAATGTGTTTTTTTATTGAAGGAACCTGTGGTTTAGTCACAAGATGGTCACAGACCTCTTGTGGTACTTCATCAGGACACCCCACTGAACAAAAAAGTGCTTAGGTTTTTCATGCCATAGATTTTCTTCCACTCCTGCCATAACTGATAGCATTTCTCAAACTTGTCATGTGTTTTTTAATTAAAAATTAGCCATGTGAAGAACTCAGTCTCACCCTTACAACTATTCTCACTAGCACGGAGAGCAGAAATTGAAAAATTAGGGGGAAATGTAGTCAAGCCTTCAGTCCCATTAGTGTTTCTGAAGCAGAAGTAGCAAAATTCAAACTTCAGAGTAAGTATGGGTTGGGAGGAACCACTCAAAGTGTGCGTTGAGTATGTTTGTTCAGCTGTTTGAGGGAAATCATTTGAGAGGATGGGACTGTGAGCAAAAGGAGAGGCAGATAGCTTGGGACCTGTAGGATAAGAAAGGGAAGGAGTTAGGTAACGGCTGTCTATAGAACCATGGGGAATCAACAGGAAGAGGGCTGGATCTTTGGGAGATCCAGACTACTGGATCTGTGTACGGGAGCTTCCGGAAAATGTAGTTATCTCTGACCCAACTCAAAAGTAACACTGAGATGGTTTAGTGTGCAAGTGTGGAACCAGTCTACTGCTCTGAAATGGAACAGACTTCAAGGATAAAAGCTTTCCAGATCCTAGATATCTAATCAGACTTTTTCCACGTCTGGTTGGTGTACACAGGGAAAGCCACATTCAGTCAGACCACGAGCGCCCAGATTTTCTGAGTACAAAGTGTGGGTCTTACCTGTCCAGTGGACAGAGGCAGCACAGCTGTGAGACACAGCAACAGCACTGGGAGAATCATCTCTGAAAAGGGGAGAATGAGGATTTAATTTATTTTTTACAGTGTTTTCATTTCTCTGAATACACAATACATCCTTCTTCTGTGTATTTCCTGGCTTTTTCTCAAGTAGCAAGCTAATGTTTTCTTTCTCTCCTTCCTCTCATCCTCCCATTTTTAGATGTTAAAACAATTAAATTAATTCCCTGTCGGCATTTCCAAATTTCTATGAATCAACTGCTTTGTACCTCTCATACTTCCTGTTGTCATCCTGGCCAAATACCTGTATTCGCAGTACAGGAGGACATCAGTGCTTCCCTTCCTATAGGAAGCCTTCTGCTCATTGCCACGTTGTTGGATGGCTGGGTGGGATTCTGCTTTTAGCTTGTCTCTGTCCCTCTTAGTCTGAAACTTCTTCTATTTCCAATGGCCTGCTTTGACTGGACTACGTTGGTTGAAAGGGGAATTAAACACTCAGCCTATGTGCAGACCTCTACAGTTAGGTGTCCCTTACTAATGACCAGTATGTAAGCTGGGGCAGAACTGGCTGGAGCAGAAAAGGACCAGCATTGGCTTCCTGGGAAAGACTTATTTCAGAAAGCTTTTTTTTTCTTGTTTTGATTTTTTTAAAGACAACTCTCGGTTATATTACAGGTATTGTAGAATGGCAAAACAAATGAGAGCCGCCTTTAATTGAAGAAGCAACCACCAGACCCTGGATTCCAAGATCCTACTTACTTAGGAGCTTCAAAACACCATACCATCCCACTACAGTGATCCAGGAGGTAATGCAGGTCACTTCAAAGTTCAGGGGTCTGATTACAATCAGTCATCGGAGTTACATTCAGCTTGTTTCTGCTTAGCTACCTTGGGCAGGCAAGCAGGTGACTAGAGTAGAATTTACTTATATTGGCATTTTTCCCAGCCTCCCACTGCAAGGGAATTTATGGGCATGTTGCCACCGAGATGTATTATTAGCTTAACTCCTTATTCGGTTTTGAGGGGCTGCTGCTTTTAGTTTTAATGTATTCCTGGGGAATGGCCAAAGGATTTTCTGATCTTTTCATATTCAGCAAAGCCTCTTTACCTTGAGGCAACCAGTTTATATAAAACACAAGGTGCTGCAGCTCACAGAGAACATGTGAGTAAGAAAAACTCCCCTTTTCCAAATGATACAGCAAGGACCATTTTCCTCACCAGCCTGCTTACGTTGCACTGGAGGCGACCCACAGTCCCCATCCCGTGGGCAAAGGGACCTACTCCAGCTCTGCTAAAGAGCAAAGCCCGTAGAAGTGGACTGTGGCTGTGGGCAGCTGTAGCTCAGAGGCGAAAAAACTGGACAGACTGGACATGTCTGTACAATTAAACTCTCACAGCCTCCAAAATAGTGTGGCTTATTCCAAGCACTTATAGTTGAGGAAAGATCTAGCTGATCTGGGGGGGGGAAATACTGGTAATTAACCATATAAGTCATCGATTTCCTGTTCTTGGTATTGATTTATGTCCCTTATGTTTAATTTTGACATCACCATTGCCTCCTTGAAGTGCTTTGGGATCAGAGAATTTTTTTCTTGCTAACTTTTCTACCGCTTGTTTCTCAGAGCCGTTACAAAACTTTGCAGTGCATATGACCTAGGTGCTTAGCAATAAAAGCTTATAAGCCCAATAACATGAAAAATTATTCTTTTCACTTCATTTTTAACTAGAAAATAAATAGAGGTGGGGGTTATTTTTAGCTGTACTCAATTTACAAGCAAAAATACGTCTTTTGAGTGCAAAATGTGATGATATGCAAATAGAAAACAACCCTTTTTGCACCTAAAACATGTAAAAACAAATTCTCTGTTTCAATGGAAAAATAACTCTTCATTAAAATTGTGAAGCTTCCTATTTTGCAAACCAAACTGAAGAAGCTAACTTAAATACATGGGAAAAGTATTCATTGACTGTAACATTTTATATGAATTAACTTACAATTAAATATAATTGGTAATCTAATACGTGATAAAAGTTTCAAAACGCCATTGGAATGCTTTTTAAGACCCAGTGGGTTTCCTGCTCCAAGATATTAACATACTTTTGGCAATCCCACTGATTTCAACCAAATGCTTATAGTTTATGAGATGTAAATTTAATTGCTCTGCATTAATTTCTAGGCACTGGTCCTAAAATCAGTCTCTCTGTCCCCCTCCCCTATTCCCCCTCAATCAAACACAAATCAGGACATGTGCCAAGTCTTACTGACTTTCCTGTAACTCCATCTGTGTACAAGGATCTGCCGCTGAAAGATGGTGCTTTAGCATCCCTGGTTTGTATGAGTTTAGCAAACTTGTGTGAATATGTTTTTCTCATGCCTCCTCCTAAAAAAAGAAAGATACTGCTTTCTTGCATACAGGCAGCTTTTCATCTGTTTTTGATTGTTCATCAAATTTCTCTCCCTTTTCTTCAGCTTGTGTTACACTGCTGCCTATGTATTCCTTATTTTTCACTGCATAAAATCCTCTTTCTCTGACGGTTCTAAATGGTTCAAGAAATCTTCTGACAATAAGTTGCATTTTAATACATGAAAAAATTTGCAATACTTTAAACAAAGAAATCAATCTAAATCCTACCTTTTGTTTCCAGGAAGGCTGGAAGTTTCTTCCGTCCTTCTGCAGGTGGTTGTGGAAGTGACCAGGGTTGTTCACTGGAGGATGATTTATAGCTCTTCTGTTTCCTGATAGGACAAGGTGACTCAGCGTCACAGGTATTATAAAATTCAAATAGTGACCAGATAGAACAGCGTATTTGTCAATTGCACAGTCTTCCAAGAAGGAAGTTGTTTCCTTGTGTTCCATTTCTATTTCCTCTTACTTCTTGTACCGGAAGAGATGAAATAGTCTGAAATGAGTTTTGTATGTATTGCTCCTTGTATGTGAAATATGCAGTCAATATGAACGCCAGGTACAAAGGCTCTCTGCTAATGATTGACGCATCCAGTTGTAGTGAGACGTGATCTTGATCTCCAGCAATGCAAATAAACTCACCTGGCTACTGAGGTGTCTCCAAACTGACATTGTGGTAAACAAGGTGGAATCTTGCCTATTGATTTTTCCATGGGGGTAAAAATGGTCTTGGGCCAAGTTCCTGTTCATGCTATGGCTTCTTTACATCAACCCTCTAGTATAAAAGTCAAAGGAGACAAGGATATTTCTGTAATTGATACTTTTACCAAGTATTGGGTAAAGATTAAAAGATTATTGTGTGCACTAGCATTAAAACACATATAGTAGTTTGATGTGACAGTTCCGGGTACATGGAGTAAGATGAGAATACTGCCAGATCGGAAGGGCATCTGTGTGCACATCGACTGTTTCCATCCACGTTTAGTCTCAAGTAGTTACTGACCAGAGCAGCCGTCATTTTGTGCTTTTAGATAAAGCATTGTTATTTTTCTATTTAAATTCAAGTCTTCCTTGCTTGTAGCCACTCAACTCCTACCCTCCTCTCTTGTGAAGTGTGCCTTCAGAACAATCTTTTGCTTTTCATTATCTGGGAAACCAGTATATGGGCTCTACCAGACAAAATGGTAGTGGTATGATTTGTTGTTTTGTAATTATATGGAAAGGAACACACCGTCAGCAAGTTTGTGGTTGACACCAAATTGCAGGGAGCAGTCAATATGCTGGGTAATGAGGCTGCCGTTCAGAAGAATCTCAAAAAGCCGGCGAAGTGATTTGACAGAAATGCTCTGAAAGTGAACAATTGGGAGAGACCAATTGTCTAGGGAGCAGCTCTAACAAAAAGCACCTAAGGGTTGTTGTTGGACGACAAGTTACATGTGAGTCAACAGTACTCCCTTGCAACAGTGAGGGCTAACCGTGCCCTGCACTGCATTAGCCACTACTTACTGAGAGTACCGAAAACAGTGATTATAGCTATTTTTTCAGCACTTCTTAAACAGTGTCCGGTTTTGGAGTCCCCAGTACAAAAAAGGTATTAACAAACTGAAGTAGACCTAGCAAAGGGCGACTACGCTGGCAAGAGGAAAGGCAGAGAAAGGATTCCTTTACAACATGGACATGAGGTAAGGGCCATGGATTGCAACCCTAACTAGATATAAAGAAAAATATTTTTTACAGTGAGGCTTGTTAAGCACTGAAGCAGATTGACTAGGGACGTGCTAGATTTTGCACAATTGGAGATATTCAAAACTGGACAAGGTGCTGAGCAATCTAACATAACTTGCAAGTTGGCGATACTTTGAACATGGTGTTAGACCAGATGAGCTTCAGGGGTCCTGTACAACTAAAACTGTTCTAAGGTTGTGTGATTTTTATGTTGTTTACACTGGAAAGTCACCAAATGAGACTTGTCTTATTTTACTTGTTGACAGATATGACTAATTAATCACAGCGGGAACCTCTAATTGTTATAGGAGAAAGCAAGTGGTACTAGCATAATCGTTATAACCCTTACTAATGAAAAAGGTTGCGTTTAGGTGGTCAGTGAACCATGAATCCTAAGGTAAAGACTAGATTCTATTATGCTTATATCATTCATATCTCTGCCTAATATACACTGAGACCTCTTGAATCAACTCCTCATTCAAGTGTAAGAGCTGTCTATAAACCCAAGTGAATGATTCAGAGCAACATCCTGTCCCGTAACAAGGGATTTAAAGAAGAGGGCTTTAAACTAGAGTTGCAGGGGGACAGGAACCTCAGTCCATCCCACTCCTGCCAGAACGATGCCAATGCCATCAACAGATGTCCAGAACTGGGAGAAAGGTCGCAGGTCACCAGGAGAGTACCTGGAGTGCGGCATACCTGTTGGAGGGACAATGTGTCAGGGCATAAGCAATCCAGGAGGTTCCTGGAATGTATCAACGATAACTTCCTTCTCCAAGTAATAGAAGAGCCAACGAGGATAGGTGATATGCTGGACCTTGTTCTCACCAACAAGGAGGGGCTGGTGGGGAATGTGAAGTTTAAGGGCAGCCTTGGCTGCAGTGACCATGAGTTGATGCACTTCAAGATCCTCAG